AAAACAGGGTGTAGCCAGTGTAGGGCTCCCGGGTTCAGGCCCCGGGGTCCCCGAAGACGGGGAGACTAGTTTGCTGCTTTAGGCATTGTCCTGCATGTGCTTCAGATGCAAGGTGAAAGTCTCATATCTATCCCATGCTTGAAGCAGCAGCCTGCCCTAGCTTGGCTTGGATTTCGCAGAAATTCACGTGCCGTGGTTTGTGCCATGGTCCAGTGGAGCTAGTTTCCTTTGTGCAGAGACAGCAGCTGTACAATCACGACATGTCTGTGAGATGCTGTGCGAGGGGTGCACAAACAGTAGTTGCCATCGCTCAATGCACATGTGCTGATTGTTAACTAGTGCACGCATAAAAGACTGCCGTGCTCAGGTCTATGTGCTGTACATCAACTACACGTCGACCCGTGCGAAGTCGTACGAAGCAGGACGGTGCGACCACCGAGTGTGCTGTGTCCGTTGCCCTTCAGATATGTGCGATTGACTGAAGTGAAGCATGCAGCTTTATATGGCTATAGTACAATTAGTACAATAGTGTTCCGGGCCATGGTTTTGTTCCGCCGATCGACAGCTCATTCCTCGACTACTGATGATACGACTGCCGAGCCACTCAGCCCAATAATGTAACGAATGATTTTTTCCAACCCCCAACACTTATCCTACAGAAACCACTCGCTCGCTCAGGCTGTGATTTTGCTTATGGATCCGGCTGCCCCACATGTATGCTCCGAGCTTCGACAAGGTTCGATGACAAGGGTTTCCAGAGTTGGAGATTGGTGTTTTCTACCGCATATATCGTCCTGTCATTTAAACCCTGGAGTTACATAAACCATAAATGCAAACCCTTCCACCCAATATCCCCGCAAACCAGCTCAAGCCGAGGGGTTGGGTATGAGTTTGTTTCCCAGGCCCTCCCCCAAAAATAACACCAAAGCTTGTGCCTGTGTTGAGAAGTTTCCACTTTATGGTTTGGGCTCGCACGGGCTTGTGATTTCGTATTTCGCATTCGAACTAGACTTGGGTTGACAAGTGTGCACATAGCTTGGGGTTCGAAGTTTGGGATTTCACGGGCAATTACCAAAGGAGTTGAGTGAGCTTGGAATGCCGGGTCTAGACACGAGGGCTCCCCGATTTATTGTTATTTATGAGGCTGTTAGAGTTTCCGGAACGGTGCATACGTATTTAACATGTTCTGAAACCAATGACTATGCTAGCCCCGAGGTTACTTTATATGGTATCATGAATAGCAGGCAAGCACAGCAGGTGTATGCCATATGGTGTATGCCATATGTGTACTGAGCAGGGGTTTCTCTGGATAGGTACACAGGCACAGTTTCTTACGCAACGAACTGCTTTATGTAGTTTGGCATGATCAGCACTCACACAGACATGGGCACACACACAAATGCATGTGCACTTTTCTATGCATCTATGTCAGTCTCTGTGTGGGGATTCGGGAATGTAGCCAAATATTTATGGGTCCGGTGCATGTATGAAAGCATGCATGTACGGGTAAATGTATGTGTCTGTCTCTCTGTCTGTCTGTATGCATGTGTTCATGTATGTATGTATACGTGTGTATTCAGGCCTGCATGAAAGCATCTATTTGTGGGTAATTAGCCAGGTGGGCTTCGTAAGGGTGGGTTTAAGTTCCAGAATTCAGAGATATTCATGTGCATCAAAGTCATGTCCTATTGTTGCATGATTAGTCCAAGAAGGTAAAGGCTTTGCCCTTTGTAATGGCATATGATAATTTGTTTTTGCCTTGTTGGTCATCAACTAACATACAATCAACAATGGTGCAGTGTCGTCGAGTCCATGGTGTAGTCCTACGAAAACGGTGCACGGCCCCGTCGAGTGTTAAATTGTGTTCATGTTTTGGTTTAGTGATCTAGTTTCAGAGTGTGCAAAGGAACTGCGAAAGAAAACCGGTAGGCTTGAAACCCTCCCAGCCGAAGCTCTCTGTGCCCTGAGTAATGCCCGTCTTACGATTGAGCAGCCTTCTGCAATGGCCCCAGGACGCTTAAAAGGTTGTATGCATGTAGGCCTGTGTATGTGTAAGTATACAACAATGTGAAGTACAATGTTGTATATATCTATGCTCATAAATGAAAGGGGAGATATGTCTACACGTGTACATGTGTGTATATATATATATATATATCACATGTGTATATATATGTATATTACAAAAAAGTTTGTGCATGTTCCTGCATACGAATATATATATATATATATATATATATATATTCAGATATCTATGCTGAATATACATATACACATACTATGCCTTTGTATGTGTAACCCCATATGTGTATATATATATATATATATATATATATACGTATATATATATATATATGTATACATGTATATATATATATATATATAGATATATGTGTATATATATATATGATATATTGCACATGTACACATGGCTACATGGCAAAGGAAGCAACAGGAGACGAAGTAACCAATACACTCCTCCAGTTGTAAAGGACCTCTGATCCCCTGGCCAAAAGACCTCGAAACCCTGACATTTGCCGAGTTCTAATAGAAACCCTAGTTTCCGTCCCATGAAACCCGAGCCCCAGAGCCCTAGCACCCGAAAGCTCATTATAACCCTCCTGCCACCCAGAGGCGGTGTGCAGTTCTATGGGTGTATACGATCTACCTGCAGGAGGCCTGCTCCCAGCTTCAATATTTTAGACCCAGGCTCCTTAAGTGAAACTTTGGGGTTGTGTTCGGTCTGCTAGGGTTCAAACTATATATAGCTTTTGTAGTTAGACTTATGATTATGTATATATTTGATTAGCCTTTCGGCCCTAAGCCCGAACTGGGTTTGAGTATATCTGGTGGTCCCTGTCTCCCCTAAACTGTGGCACCACTATAAACCCTTAAAGCCTATCAGAGAAAACCTAACTATCCTCCTAAGCAACTTAGGATTCCAGGGTCGTGCCAGGGTTCAAGGACTTTTTATAGCCAGTGTTAGTTATCTCGTGCTTGTGGTTGCCCCTCCGTCCTCTCTCTATCTCTCTCGCTCTCTCTCTCTCTCTCTCTCTCTCTCTTTCTCTCTCTCTCGCTTTCTCTCTCTCTCTCTCTCTCTCTCTCTCTCGCTCTCTCTCTTATCTCTCTGTCTCTCTGGCGAGCAAAAGACCGCTTGGCATTGTAGCTCTGGGACACAGCATGATCGGAACCTTCGGGCATCGTCTTTGTACTTTGACCAACAAAAGTTGTGCGGCCAGGGCAAGCATCGGAGGGTCCAGGGCCAGCATCATAAGCATCAGTGGGGTTCAAAGGGCACGGTGTTGTGGGTCAGAGATCGTCTTTGTATTTGACCCATGGAGGGCCGAGGGCCAGCAGCATCAGTGGGTTTCCAAGGGCACGGTTTTGTGGGTCAAATATCGTTCTGTTTTTTGGTCCACAAAAGTTGGTGAGTGCTCCTCGTCTTGGGGGAGGCTTTTGGACGAAAAGCATGCCCCGAAACCGCCCGCAAATGATAATGATGCTTGCCTATTCGGGCCTCGGGGCGGGTTTTCTCAAGGGGTTCCAGGCTGATGTGGTTGACATATCTTGCATACTCAGGCGAACCCTTTGGGCTCGTTTTCGTTCCCACATAGTTATAGGAGCTGTTTAGGAAGCTTTTCGTGCCAACGCATATTTTTAGGAGCTCTTTAGGCACACTTCGTTCCAACATATGATCACACGAAGTCAACCTCTCTCCCTCTCTCGTGTTTCCTCTCTCTCTGTGTTCTGTGTTGCAATGGCTTGCAGGTCGTGTGGTTCTGACCGATGCGACGATGCTGCTGGAAGCAATTGCTTCTGTGGCGAGAGCGAAAACCGCAGAGTTGCAACTTTGGTTGGTGGTTTCCGAGCTGCATGGTGCCAGTTTCAAGAACTTCTGTACGCTTTTTTAAAGATTTCGGCCGGATTGCTACGAAAACCGTAAAACGTAAAGGCGCGAAGAAAAAGCGTAAAGGCGCGAAGAAAAAGCGTAAAGTGGCGTAAATATTTTTTCGCGGTTTTCTGCTTGGTTCTGGATCACTCCAAAACGTGGCCGTACTGGTGGTTCCTGCAGGCCTCAGGCTCACTTTCGGTAGGTCTAGTCTCGGATAGCTGCTGGTATGGAGCCGTTATCAGCACCCCGGGATGTCAAGAAAGAGCCAGAAGCCGTTGTGGAAGAGATCCAAGCCAAGCTTGCTGCACATTGCCTGCAGATGAGTATGTAAACTTTGGCTATGTAGTTTTCAACAGCTGGGCTGTTCCGTAGGTTGTTTAGATATCACTAAGGCAGCCAAAGCCCGGCTGGTGGAGCTGCAGGACATGAAGAAGAGATGTGATGAAGAGCAGCTTTTGGCTGCAAAGGTTGTTGCTGCCGAGGTTACTACAGCTGAGGTTGAGGATCCCCCTGAGGATCCACCTGAGGAGACCCCGGAAGGCCTTCCCCAGAACTTCTTGAAAGGCGAATGGACCCAGGATGCCCAACCGCCACCTTTGGTCGCAAGCCCTCCGCCTGCTGCAGCAGCAACTGGGGACTCGTTGGAGCCCACACAGGTTGAGGTTTCGCAGGTTCAGGCTGCCAGCCCTACCCGAGTGCCGGGAGAGCAGCCAGCTTCGGATGATGAGTTGATGGATGCCGAGTTTGATGCTTGTGTCACCGATGAGTACTTGCAAGCTGAGGAGGGTTCCGAACCTTGAACTGAAACATGTGCCATGTAGCTTGTTTTCCTGAAGCCACAACTTGTTGGTGCTGCTTGCTCAATCTAAGGACATGGAGGATGGTGACTTGATGAGCCTGCTGCATGGTTTGCAGTGCATCAATGTCAGTGCTCCAGTCCAGAAGCCCGAGCCGCAGCCGAAACCCAAGTCCCCGCCGCAAGCAGCCCCGACACGTTTGGTGCCAACTCCGAAAAAGGCTCTGGCACGACAGCTCGTGCCTAGTCAAACATTTTACACAACCAGTTCGCATCTAGTGTCGTGTAGCCTTTTGCTAGAGTGTTTCCTCAATGCCCTGGCCACCTAAGTTTCCAGACTTTGAAGATGCAGAAGACGACCTGCCTACACCGACCACTTCTGGATCGGATGTAGCCCGGGGATCCAACGAGACTCCCGATGAACTTCTGGCTTCGCAAGCGATTTGGTTTTAAGTTGTGAGTGCAGCAGTTTTCAGCCCGTGTACCTTGGGTGATATTTTCTGCTTCAGGTTGCTAGCACCTCTGGTGCCATCATCAGCATGCAGCAGAGGATCCTTGCTAAGTATGATGCGAAACTTCGAAGAATGTGCAAGGTTAAGGCTAGTGGACAGGCCGGTGTGACCAACGATATCCTGGCTGCCTGGAAAGAGGGTGGCACGACTCGGGCCGGTTTGGTTAAGATTCTCGCTGACTGCAGTGGGAACAAGGCCGGTTTTGGCATTGGTGGCAATAAAACCAATAGTTCAATGCATGTGTTTTGTGTTAACAAAAGCTGACAGGAAAAGTTCCTGAAGCGAGCTTCGCTGAAGATCAAACACCTCAAGAAAGGCACACTGCAGGTGAAAGCCGGCTGGTACAGCGAGGAAAGGATGAAAACCGATTTGGGCTTTTCGCCGAAGCTTGCTCGTGCAGTTAAAGTTACATACATATGCATACATACATACATACATACATACATATATATATATATATGTATATAGAACACAGGATGCATACAGATAGTTAAGTACAGGAAAACCAGAAGGAGGGAGAGAGAAGGAAAGAGAGACAGAGAGAGGGCGAGAAGACAAACCCGTGATATATCACAGCCCAGGGCCCGCATCAAGGCGGTTGTGCAGTGGTGCAAGAAGAAAGGCTCCAAGTACGTCAAGCAGCTTGGCACAGGTGTTGTGTGTTTGGGTTACCCGGTTACCTTTGTTTGTTTCTCGCATAAGGCGGGACAAGTACGAGCCCACGAAGAAGTTGTATTGGGTGGAGGTTTCGTCCGAAGGTGTTTTCGAAACCATCAATGAAGAAGAACTCGAGCACGAGTTCGAGGGTGATGGGCTGGATGCCCCCGTGAACGACAGGGCCCCGAATGTGCCGGAGCCCGCAAGCGAGTCGTGCAGTGACTCAGGCGAGGAGGTTGACACCCCCAAGCCCAGGCAGAGCAAGTCGAAGAGACGCCGAGCCCTGAAAGCAACCCCGCCCTCCTCCGAGCCCCAAGTCAAAGGTCCCAAGAACAGCAACCTCGAACGAAGAGCTTCCTCTGCACAGATCGAGCTTGCTATGCAGGAGTGGTTCTAATAGTAGATGTTTTTGTGTGCTGAGTGTTTGTGACGGGGGTTGGGGGGGTGCTTGCCGGTCGAGTTGTTGGGTTGGGTTCGGTTCGGGTTGGAGTTTGGTTGTTGGTTTGCTGGTTGTGGTGTGTTTGTGTTGTTTGCGGCAGGACATCGAGAATGTCCCGACGATCTTGTCTGGGCTTTTCAAGACTGTGGGGAAGATCCAGAACTTGATTCCCGATCTCAAGGCTCTGAAAACCACGGATGCAGCAAAGTTTCGTGGCTCAGTGTTTGTAGGATGCAGTGTCAGGGTTAGTGAGATTAGTGTTTGTGTGTTCATGATAAACCGAGGCAGGCAGATGGCTTGGATGCCGACTTGAACAAGCTGATGGTGTTGCATGATGAGATTGCAGCCTTGAAGAGCTATTGGATGGCACACAAGAATATGCCGCCCGAGCGACATGCCTTTGAATGCCACCTTGTTTCAGCTGAGGTTGTCTAGGGCACGGTTTGTTTCAGGTTGTTGTGCTCCGTGTTTTTGTCTGAGGAAGGCAAAAGAGTTGCAATCGAAGAACTTGGAGGTGGAGATGCTGTTGAGACCTTACATCGAATCTGCTGCAAAAGGGGCTCGATAGGGCGATAGTTGAGTAAGGTGCAACAAAGTTGTCATGACGGAAACCAAAGTGAGAAAGCCGGGCTCCTACGTGTTCGGGAACCGTTTCGTTGTAGGAGGAACATGGTCATGTTTTATCATATGCTGTTACTACAGGACCGTGCTTCGCAAGACCCCTGCTGCTGGATCGACGACAACAGAGCAGCCTGGACCCTCGCAGGCCCAGGCGAAAGGAAAAGCGAAGGCAAAGCCTTCGGCGAAAGCGCCAAAGGCCAAGGCCGTTCCGAGAGGTGCCGGTGCGACTGCTTGAAGCAGTGCCTAGAGTTTTTGAAAGTGCGAGTATGTGCACAGTGCACATGCATAAGGCTTTGTGAGTTTCGTGGTTTGAACTAAAGCTTAAGTGAGTTGTGTAGCCTAGCAGGCTGAGTTGTGTAGCCTAGCAAGCAATGTTTTCCAGTCTTTGTGTGATCCTTGATCAAGTAAGTGGGTGCACTATATGTGCTCTGACAAGATGAGCGATTATCTTGTCATGTGGGAAAGGCAGATCATCTATACCTGCCCTGAGTTTCGAAGTAGCTGATGGCTTCGCCAATCCTGTTCGCAGCGAGAAGTTTCGGACGGGCCGGGAGAACAGAGGTGCTTGTTCGATTCGTGCACTTAGATTTATGTGTGTGTGTGTGTTCCCCTAACTTGAACACGGCTAGTTTGGTAGTCATGCATGCACATTAAACATTCATGCATGCATGTATATACATATACTTAGGCATATATATATATATATATATACAAAATAGGCCGCTGCATCTGTATGATGCAATCCCGTGCTTCGCTGCTGCTGGTGCTGCTGCTACCTCTGCTGCTACTGGCTACTACTAAAGAAAGACTGCTGTGATATTCTATGGTTTTCGCTATGATAGCACAGAGACCCTGAGGCCCTAAGCCCTAAGGTCCTACCCACGCCAGTATTCCACGTCGTCGTCGCCGTCTGGGTTCTTGTCGTCCTCGTCGTTATCTTTGTAGTTTAGTTTCCAACACTATATGCCATTAGTCTTACTAGTCTGCCACTACTCGAAGTCAACGATTAGGCCCGCCACCACCACCCCCACCACCACCACCACCACCACTACCACTACCCTCACCCCGACCACCACCATTACAAAAGTAAGCCCTACGAACACCGCCACTACCAACAACAATAACCCCACATCCGATAAGTACTAATATTCCCCCCCGCAGGTCGTGGGCCAGCTGCGATTGCTCTGGCGAAGGCTAGTGCCCAGGGGGCCACCCACTTCAATTAGTTGGTTTGTCTAAAGAGTTCGGCCGTTTTGGGTATCGGGTTTTTAGGCCTCCGGGGTCGTTTTCGTGTTGGATTTGATACGAACTCGAGGTTTCCCATCGGCTGGTGTGCCAAATCGCGAGTGGTTTCTGGAAAGAGTTTCAAGAAGCTACGAATGCAGATCGGCACCAGGGTGGATGCTTGCAGAGTGCATCGTTGCTTCGACGAATGCACAAATCTTCGAAAACCCGGCACGAAAATCAAACCACCAAAGCCTACGAAGATGTGGGGCTTGCAGCCCCGATTCCTTTCTCCTATGTGGATTTGGATAAGTTCCCGCATCACCCGTGGTTCCGACCGAGCGATTTTTTGCGAGTTTTCGTGCAGCAAGGCAAGTTGGGTCTGTTGACGGGTGGAAGTTCTTTCGATATTCTGGCAGAGTTCTGGCAAAGGTATTACTACCTGCAGCCAAGCCATGCAGTATATAAGTTGCTGGATACTGAGCAGCGAAGATTCACGATACCTTGCATGCTGTATGCAGACGAGGGCCAAACTTTGAAGAAGCAGAGCTTGATGGTCATTTCGATACAGCCAGCAATCGGAGCAGGAATTCATGCTGCTGAAGGTTGTGCGAGCTCTGGTTCAATGGGCAATAATTTCATTGGCTCCTGCTACAAAACACGTTTCCTCCTGAGTGTTCTTGCAAAGCGAGCTTACAAAACCAATGCCGAAGTATTGGATGTATTGATGGAGCAGATTGTTCGTGATTGCAACGATTGCTTGGAATCTGGCATTTCCGTTTGCCTGGGGGGCAAGCCCGTCAAGCTTAGACTTGCAATTTTGCAAGTAAAAGGTGATTGGCCAATATTGGCGAGGCTGGGGCATTTGACACGGTCTTTCCACAGGCTGACGAAAGGGGGCTTGGTGACAAAGAATGGCAAAGCAAAGGTGCCAAAAGGTATCTGCCATTTGTGCAGAGCCGGGTGCCCTGGGGTACCATTGCAGGAGTACACCGAACAAGCCAAATGGTGCGAAACATACTTGAAAGACCCTCCCTTCGATCCCAGCGACCCGAGCCCGATGTGGGAATTGCACCAAGCCGATTCAAAAGAGGTATTGTACCAATATGATCTTTTCCATACATGTCACAAGGGTATCTTTGCAGAACTTTCTGGGTCAGCTATCGTTTCTTGGCATGGTTCGGAGTTTCAGTTCTCGTGACTACATATATGTATTGATAGGTGCCAAAGGTTGGTGATAAAGCTAAGGCTTTCGACTTGTGTCAGGTTGTACTTATGGACCTGGGCTTGGCTGGAGCAGGCGACAGGAACGAACAGATTGGAAACTTGTATGGCCGGCTGGAAACATTTTGCAAGCAAAACAAGTTCTCCCTGCATATGAGTGCTTTGACACGGCAGCTGCTGCACTACCCGAACGAAGGCGAGTTTCCTTGTGGGATGCTTGGTAGTTGTTCGTCAAAATATTGCTGTTCGTTTTAAGTGAGCCTTACCATCTTAATATGGTCCCGATACTAATCTTAATCTGTACCGGAATATAAATAATTCACTACATCGTGGACGGGTTAATAATGCAACGGGTGTAAAAGCATGTACTTGTTTTGGGTGATAGATGATGAGTTACACTTAGCCCGCAATATAAAGTCGTTGTTTCGGTAGACACCAAATATATGTACCTTTGTCTCTCTACTCCGGTCACTCTCACTCTCTGTGTCGTCTTTCTCGTATACCCAGGTCTTGGTTCAAAGGCCACGATACGACAGTGGTGATGCTGTGGTTGGAAGCTGTTTTTGGCTTCATCAATGAGCACGGGGCAACCGCCTACACGAGAAATATTGAAACTGCTATTCGGGCGGGAAATGATTTCTTGAGATGCTTGTACAGAAGTGGGCTTTGGCTTTCGAAAGCTGAAGCAGCGAGTGCCATTATGCATTCGACAACATTTTGCCGGTGCTACCTGTCGGCGGCGGAAACTGCATTTCGCCAAAAGCTGCTTAGATTCAAGATTTCACCCAAGTTTCATGCATTTTGCCATTTCGCATTCGAGATGGACCGGCAAATTCAAAACACATGGATCTTCAGCCCAATGTCGTCCTGCTGTCAGCAGGACGAGGACTTTGTGGGGAAGATTGCTGGCTTATCTGTATGCGGCCAATTCAAAGTTGTGCACACGCAGACCCTGCAAAGGTACGTGATCAACCTCGAGCAGAACTGGTGAAAAGGATTTCGAAGGGTGTTGCTTAGAGCTTTCAGGATTCGAAGGTATGATATGACGACTTGTTTGTGCTTTCTCCCACACTTGTCGAGCGAAGTTGACTTCCATTGGAAATCTTTCTTCTCTTCCCTCGTCTCTCTCTCTCTTTGTCCCCTCCTAACATAATTTAGGGCACAATAAAATAGCAACTATTTCAAAGTTGCCCCGAAAACCCTAACCTATCGACCTTTGGCCCTCTAGGTTGCAACTAGGTTCTTAAGGTAGGGAATATACCTTAAATCATATTAGGGATCCTGCTATAATTTAAGGTATATTCCTTCATTAAGGGATATTGGAGTCTCTGGGAACCAGCCAGCCAGATCTCCTCGATACTGTCCCGCCGTGCTCGTGGCGCCGATTGCGGCGCGGGGAAAGGTAGATCGCGCCCGTTTAGGGTTTAGGGTTAATTAGGGGAGCTGAAGCGCCTAAGCACTTTAAGGCAATCAACTGCGCTGCCCGTGGCTTGGGCATGTCCCAAAACGAGTATGCACGTCTTCAGCACGGTAACTGCGCAATCCACGCTTCGTGCGGGCACAAGATCGCATTGGCCGTTCTTTGCTATCCGTGGGGGCAAACAATAAGTCCCTAAAGCTTATACACCCTAAAGCCCTATACCCCATCTGCCAATCCGGCTCAGGCATCCGGCGCCTCCCGGTCGGACTTTGATGTCGGGCAAGAGAAAAGGCTACTGTAGATTAAAATCGGAGCCTTAATAAATAGAACAGGGTTTTAGGGCCCATTGTGCTAGAGTTATAAAAAAGGAACCGCCCCCAAATAGTCTCGGTAATTCCTTGGGCCCCTATAGTAGTGTAGATTATCCTACTTGGACTCTCTGGCCTAGGTCACTCGTTAAAAGGCGCAAAAGGTCCTGGGCCGATGGCTTGAGGATCAAGCCTGGTCCTACTTGTCGGGTATCATTGGGAACCAAAGGTTATATAACCTTTTCAGTTATATAGGGATTATATATAAGGTTCAAGGTTCCCTACTCTACTACTAGGTGGTTTACGCAGGCGAAGTCCAGTGCCCGCTGTAAACTCGAAGGCTCAATGCCCGAAATCCTATCTCTACCCAGACCCTCCATCTACCCAGTCTGTTAGACCCTAAGTACCCAAAATTTGGGACCATATACCCCTATTTGAGGGTACAAGGAGAATCCTGATAAAACTTTTCGGTGTAGGCTCCTCGACTGGAGCCCTGCAAACCCTGAAGCCCTAAATCCTACACCCAAGACCCGAAGCCCTGCACCCCGCACCCCCAAAACCGCTGACGACCCCCGACTCCCTACTCTATAATACACACACCTATACATGTATATATACACATAACTATATACTTGTAAATGTGTATGTTGTGTGTGTATATATATATATCTATACAGATATATGTATATTATATACATATAATACTATAAAACTAATAGTATAACTCTATAAAAAACCGTAGATGTAGATGGACTGAATAACCCCTCGAGGTTGGGAGCCGAGGCGCTCATTGCCCGAGTAGCAGAGCGAGAACTGATCTTCGCAGCAGGTCTCAGCCAGGAGGGCTTGGGGTTTAGGGTTTAGGGTTCGTTTAAAGGGATCTATAGGGGTTCCTATAAGGGTTGAGGGCTTGTTTTTTTTGTTTTTTTTGCGGGCCCTTTTCCGACTGCATGTACCAATAGGGCTTGGGTTTAGGGATTAGGGTTCAGGCTTTAGGGTTTGGGGCTTAGGTTTTAGGGTTTGGGGTTTAGGGTTGGGGGATTAGGCATGTTGCTTAAAGGGTCCAAGTAATCGTATAGTATATGCTGTTGGGGCCCAAACATCTATATACTAAGTAGTTACTGAATTGGTACTTGGACCCTTGGGGCTGTACGGCATTATAGTTGATGGTCCAGGAGCTAGGGTGTAGGAATACAGGATTTTGAATTCAGGACCGCCACATGAAAGCCTGTTTCGAGCATAGAAGATCCGTCGAATCTACTTGGGGTTTCTCGCACTCTGAAGTCAGTGTATATGGGAGCTTCCGAGAAGAGGGGACCCTAATAGAGTACCCGAAATAGTGGGATCCTTCTTATAAGGACCCCAAAATAAGGTACGCGTAATTTTCGGATGCCCCCATATATAAGGAAGATGTTGATGATGTTGCTTCAGAAGCTCATCCCCGAGAGTTGGTCAAGCCGTCTATGCCCAGCAATCTCCTTACCATGTCACAAAAACAACATAACAAATCAGATAAAGGAACGCCCTGAGCCCAAAAAGACCTGAGCACCGACGTGGACCCCAAAAGTATTATTCGTCATAGCCTTTCGTAGATGTTGGACGGGGCCATAATTTTACATACTTTTTTGGTGGTTTAGGTAATCCTCTAACAGCGAAGAGCCTTACGGAACCCTTATAGGATCCCGTCTTGGAAGCCCTAGAGCCAAACCCTGCGCAATCTGCCGTTTGCCTTGATGACCTCGCAGCCGGCATGGTCCTGGAAGGACTGAGGGCTCAGCAGGTTTAGGGTTTTAGGGTCTTAGGGTTTAGGACAAAGGTTCAGGTTTTCATATGGGGGCCTTAATGATCAAAATAGGGATGTGAAGCCCATTATACTATAATCATGATAAGGACCCCACCTCCTCCAAAAACAAAAAAGCAATTATAGGTAATTGTTAGGGCCCTGTATTATTGAGTTCAGCTTCAGGGTTTGGGGCTTGCAGGGTTTAGGGAGTCGTTTTTGTGTGTGGGCTTGAAGACGGGCTTATCGAGTTGAGATCGCTTTTCTTTAGTTTTTTCGGGTTAGGCTTGTATTCTGACTTATATACCTTGAAGGTCTTCGAACAGAACTTATAGGGTTTACGGGGCTTGCCGCGTCTTGGCCTTTGTTGAGGGCTTAGGGTGGCCGCCTAGCTTGAAACGAGAATCTGCGATGATCAGTTTTCGGTGCAGCTGTCAATAAACACCTTTCTGGAGCATGAAAACACAAAGACACCAAAGCCTGGTGTCCAATGCAGTCCGTGCTGCAAGACTTGCCTACTACCAGATTGCACCTCAACGAAGCTCGAACCTATACCTAGACCCCCAACAGTAGGTAAAATAATGGCCCAAAACCTATAAGGCTATTATTCTACATACTTTTGTGGTCCAGGTCGTATAACATCGCACTCGAAACCTTGAAGCGATCAGCCTAACGACAGAAGTGTGAAGTCAACTGTCCTCCTGGGTGTCTGTCACCACATAGGTCGAGGAGGAATGGGGGCCGACATGAATGTCCCAGTAGCCCGGCCTCGTGGCTGTGGGGGTGGGAGGTTCGAGGGATTCGCGTCTTCTGAGCTGTTTGAGGTCGGACCCGCTGATATGGGAGTTTCCGAAAATAGGGGGATCCTACTATAGTACCCTAAGGGTTTGGAGCCCCCTGAACACAAATCCCGAAACCTTTCGGTGTTTTGTTTCGTATGCCCAAAAGTCAACGTGACTCCCTGTAGGACCTTCCTCAACGATCCCTGCATCCCCTCAAAACACGCAAGCCATGTCCTCCTTCAAAGTTATCCAAGCAGGAACCCCCCTCCGGCTCAATCTCCGAAAACCATCGGTTCGGGGCTTAGGCCGACGGTTTCCTACACCCTAAACCCTAAACTCCAAACTCTAGACCCTGAACCCTAAACTCTAAACCCTGAACCCTATAGACTCCCCCCCCCCCACAACCCTAAGCACCCTAAACCCTAAGCCGCAGAGCCCTAAACCTCTCCCTCGAGGTGGGAGACTCAGGGCCGAACCACGAAAGCTCGAAGGGTTCAGTAGCAGACCACCGGCGGATGTGTAAAAACATCTATGTGTATGTAAATGCATGTATGTATAGGGTTTAGGGTTTAGGGCCGAGGGTTCGGGTTTAGGGTTTAGGTATATGTCTCTATGTATGTATGCATGTACCTATGTATGTAAGTACGTCAGTACGCATGTCATGCACGTATGTATGTATGCACGTACTTGCATCTATACAAAAAGTCTCGCATAGAGAAGGATTGATACTGTTGATGGACAAAATCCTGCATGACCCTATAAGAACTCTAAACTATGGGAACTAGGGTATATTCCTTATAGTGGGTGATGCAGGATTGATTTCCCTAAACCCTAAAAACCCTATAGATCCCTTTAAAGGAACCCCCTCATCAACAGTAGGAAGGGCATGCTCCCGTCGGACCAGGGCTTGGGTTCCGACAGCGTCCAGAGCACCTGAGGCAAGCTTTTTCTCCAAGGAGGCTTTCTCTCAAAGGGTCCAAGTATCATTATGGTATATACTCATAGGGTATTTTTTGGGGGGGGTCTATTATAGACCCATAATGATACTTGGACCCTTCGGGTTTGTTAAACAAGTTGGGAAGGCCTTGCTGCGGAGTAACCTACCAGGATCCAAACCCCGCTGCATGTCTGTCTGTTTCTCGGCCTGTCTGTCTGCATGGCAGTCTGTCTGTCTCTGCATGTACGTATGTGTGATTTTTCGTCTTGCTTGTCCCGGATTCGGGTTGAAGCTTTCAGTCCTGGGCGTCGCGCTAAGCTTGTTTGTCAAAGAACCTCAAAACCACAGACGACTGTAGGATGTAGAGCAAAGATGCACGGAATGCGAAAGTTCGATACTCTTCCTGGCTCTTCTTTTCCTGACATATAATGTTTTGTGAACTCTGAGCTGGTGCCCTTCAACCGACTCAGCACCAAGTGCGAGGATACCCCAACACCCAACTTAGGGCCCATATCCGATGTAGATGCTCAGCTGTAACGTGAACTCGAAAGCCCTTGCAAAGGTTTCCAGCGTCTCAATCTTGGATCCCGCGCCGCAGAATGTAAACACGACGTGCCATATGCATATGAATTGCAAAAATCGTTTGATCTTGATCTACGGGGGATAGAAACTTGAGCTACAATCCTAGTTTCTCCTTATTTTATATATGGAAACGCTACACCCTAAACCCGAAACTAAACCCTAATAGGGCCCCAAAAAAGCACAAAAGCAAATATTAGAATCGAGATATCCCATACAAATCCCCTTATCATGAAGCCCAATAAGGTAGGGATATCTCCATAAATTGCTTACGCTTATGTGCTTTTGGGACCCTGACCTGAACCCCTAAACCGTCCTGCCTCCTCCGGCATCGCTGCAGGGCTGTCGGCTGCGCTGTTAGTGCAACGCTCAACGATCTGCGGCGGGGCTGTTGTCTGTTTTTGGATAACTAGGGGTTTAGGGGTTTAAGGGTTTAGGGGTTGGGGCTTTAAGGGTTTAGGGTTTAAGATTCAGCAGAAGAATCCCAATGCCCATAGGTTAGACTTAGGGGTCTTGCGTGCTTGGACTGGAGAACATTGGAAGCCCAAAAAAGAACATAACCAAAGATTAGGATAGGGATATCGCATATACATCGACAGAAAATGAAGCCCAATAAGGTAGGGATATCACCATAAAAAACTTATGCTTATGTGCTTTTTGGATCCCAAAGTTGGGGATGAAAGCTTGCTGCCGGGCCCAGCGGCTCACTTGGCTCTGCTGCGAGCGTCGTCGTGGCACGGGCCGTGTCAGGAGTTGTGGGGCAGGTCTGATTATCTGCTAATGACGACTCCAGTACAACCGTCCGAAAACTTGCAAACTGTGGTGAAACTTACGGAGCAACCACCTGAAGCACCCTGCACCCTCAACCGAAGCCTGCGAACACTGTCAACGCCACCCCGAATGGCCTGTAGGTCGTAGGGGGCATTCTGCGAAAGCCCGGTAACCTCGGAAGCTGTGTCGGGAAGCTCGAGATGTGGGTACACGGCCCGGCTCTTTGAGGTTAGGTCGGGTTGCATGAGGCTCCCAGAAACTTTATGCAGAGTTGACACGCCTGAGGAGGTAAACCCGCATATTCCGATCTCAGGACAGCCCTGAAAAGCTCTATACTTTACAAACATACAACGGCGAGAACCGTGCCATAATAACAAGTAATCCGCATAGAGCCTCAACCAAAACCCCGGCAGCATAGACACTCAGTTGGTTTTCGCTGCGAGGCCGTCTTTGGACCGACAGAACTGGGAAATTGCAAGCGATGGACCGTTTCTTTACTATGCCCTGACAACTCAGTGATATATCGCACACTACTTAAGCTCGATGAAAGCATGATATTCACATGAAGCTGTAAATTCCAAAAAGCGGACTGTAGAAAATGCAGTCGCTGGCGATGCGCCCTACCGGAATCGGCTAGATTTCAGCACGACGTTGGTGCTGTCTCCTCCTGCCATTGGATCGCCCCAGGTCACCTCAGCTGCTGCAGGCGCCCTGGATTTCGCATGCAGGGTCAGGGTCATAGATCCCGAAACCACTAAAGTAAAAGCCAGAAAGTTGGAATATGATTATCCTAAGCCCTTTATGGTAAATTGTAAGGTATCCTACCCTGAGACCATATTCCAACTTTCTGGAGTTCCCTGTAGACCCAAGATCCAACGGACCATCAACCCAACCCCGGATCCCAAACCCTGAAAGCCTTTTACATGACATACTGCGGTTTCGAGTATGTGCCGGGCTCGTCTCGCAAATACCTGACACGGAAGAGCTCATCTTTCTAGAACTGTCAGCCTAGAATAACCCGATGGTGTGGCAGGAGTTGCTCTCAGTGCAAAACGCAAAGCCTCACTCCATATGTAGAAAACCCTAAACCCCAAAGTAGCTTCACTCCTGCTTGCGACTCCGAGGTGCCAGCCGCCCATCCCCGCGCAGCGCGGCGAAGGCGGCCACGGAGCCAAGGAGATTTTGGACGCCCGAAAGCTCCTGCGGAGGCGATTTAGGGATCCCTTACGTAAAGGGTCATGGGACTTAGTAACTAGGGTTATAATAAATTTAAAGGTAACTATACTTATAACCCAATTAGGGTACTTATAACAGCCTTACTGACTGAGTCCCATGATCCTCCAAGTATAGAACCCTTTAAGGAGCCCTATAAGGAACCCTCTGAAGGATCCCTTATTGAACCCGTTTAAGACCCCGTTCAAGGATGTGGAATTTTTGGTGGAGTTCAGGAGTTTAGGGTTTTGGAGTTTAGGGTTTCAGGGCTAGGGTTTAGGGCTTTAGGGACTGGGGTTTATTTAGTTCAGGGTTTAGAGGGTTTAGCAGGGTACCCCCCCTGGAGATAGAAAAACCCTAAGATTTAAGATTTCGCCCTAAGGGTCAAGCTATGTACGTGCTAGGTTGCTGGGCTGTAGACACTACGAGAATCTAAGAGAACTGTTGATAGGGCTGAAGGAAAAGTAACCCACTGGTAACTGGTCTCCAAAAAAACCCACCTGGGGTATCATTGTATTGCTATGTGTATATATATATATATATATACATATAGATGTATGTATGTATGTATGTATGTATGTATATCCACATGTATGTGTGCATATAACTATATATATATATATACATATATATATATATATATATATATATATATATATATATATATTACAGATGTTGCTTTGTTGTTGTGGGATGTCGGGTGAAGGGCATTTGGCACAGCGTATGGTTTAAAGCCTTGGCGGCAAACCAACTCGCCGTGATCATAGTCAACCAGAGGCTCCAATATCCCTTGGTTAAGGAATATACCTTAGTTCATACTAGGGATCCTACTATAAAAAGTATACTCCTGAATAAAGCGATATTGGAGTCTCTGGGCAGGAGGCTTGGCATGTGCAACTCAAGCACTGTCTGCGACACCTTAAGGCCCTACCCATAGGCCCCAAAGTAATTCCTTTTTGGGATTACCGTAATGAACCCCCAAAAGGAACTACCATGGAGCCTTTGGGTACACAGGTTTCACAGGTCAAAGGCTTTGCCGATCAAGATGCCTTCAGGTCGTAGTGTCTATAGACTTCGGGCTATCATGAGTTGTCGAGTGGTGGGTGTGAGCTTCGCCCTCAGTGGCCATGGAAGATCATCAACGTGAGGCCGGAGACAAAAGGTTGCAGAGCAAATGGGGCTGAAGGGTCAGGGTTCTTGACAAAAACTCCAGGGGCCCAAACTCAGAAGCAAAGCGACGCAGGCGCAATTCGGGTTTTGGCAAGCCGGGCGACATTCGGGTTTTGCAAACGCTAGCCCGTGGAGAAACCCCCGAAAATGACTCCAAAACCTTGGTATCAACAATTAGAACTTACTTGTCCAATATCCTGGTGGTACTGGAGGTTAACCTTTGGGATGATATGGGTGGGTGTCAAAATGATGGTCCCTTCTTGGGTACCCTAAATATGAGGTGTCATATTATAGTAGGGACCCCAAAAGGGACCATAATTTTGACAACCAGCCATCTAGGGAATATCGTTCCCCAAGAAAGTTGAAGGTTGGAGGTTGCTCACTCTACTACTAGGAGAACCATCAGAATCAGCTTGTCTTTGATTGGAGTCCATTATGCTATGGCGAGATGAATGCTTCTTGTTCTCATCCATATGGGAGTTTCCGAAAATAGGGGACCCCAATATAGTACCCTAAGGAGTAGGACCCTTATTATGAGTACCCCAGAATAAGGTACCCCGAAATAGGGCATGGATTCCTCAACCCTAAACCTGAACCCTCAACCCTTCGGGTGTGGGGCTTAGAGTTTTCTAGGTTCCCCCAGTAGCCCCTGAATAAACAGGGAACCTTTCAGGAGACCCGGTATTCAAAAAAAGCAAAAAGTGTACTGCTGGGGAACCTCGTTTTCCCTAAACCCTAGACCCTGAACCCTACCCTAAACCTTATAGGGTTAATATAGGGACGACAACGGAATACTAGGGAAGACGGACAGCTGCATAGAGCCCAGAGGCTACAACGCCTGTGGAAGTAGCACAAACAAAGAACTAACTGCGCTTAGGGTTTGGAGCCCGCTGAACACAAAACCCGAAATCCCTCGACCCTGAACCCTTCTGATTTGGGGCCCATGTGCTTTGAAGGGGAACTAAAGGTTAAACCTTTTTTTGCTTATATAGGGGTTATATAGGGACTATACTCCCCAAAATGGTTAAAGGTTACCTACTCTACTACTACCCTAAACCCCAAACCCCATGTGTTTTGAGGTTCGGAGATACCTTGTCGGCGCTCCTCTTGCAACGCCCGGCTGTCGCCCCCCTCCTTCGAGTCGCCCCAGGTCACCACCTCTTCACTGGCTCTTAAAGGTCCTCCTCTGCACTAGGATACCCAAAACCCGAAAACCCCTAAGCCCTTAAATTCATAGAAACCCAAAACCCTAAACCCCTAAACTCCCAAACCATGAATGATTCGGGGCCCTAAATCGACCAGTGAAGCCTTGCGAGATCTTTTCGGGCTCCGGTTTCGGGGGTGTAGGTCGAGGCTAGAAAGGTTGACAGGCCATCCGCCCATATCTTGAAGCACATGGCCTTTAGTAGATATGTGTTGAAGACTTAGTCAAGGGTTCAGGCTTCTAGTCTTCAAGCGCAGAGTCTGGGCCTTAGGGCGCTTCGGATGGAAGGCCTCCAACACTCCTGCCCAGAATAGCACCCCATACCAGATGCCCGGTTCGATCCGCCCCAAGCTCCCGGCGGCTCTTGCTTGCGGGTCACGACTACAGAAGGTGAGGAGCTACTTACTTACCTTTGGCTAGTAGGGAATGGAGGAATGGGGTACAAGTATAACTACCATTACTACCATTCTTCCATTGCCTACTAACCAAAAGTAAGGCTAGCGTCGAAAAAGTGCTTTGAGACCCAGAGACTCCAATATCCCTTAATTAAGGAATATACCACAAATTTTTAGTAGGATCCCTAATATGATTTAAAGTCTATTCCTTAACTAAGTTGGATATTGGAGTCTCTGGGTTTAGAGTCGAAGAGTAGGGCTTGCTGCGCCGGCTGTTGCCCTCGGGTGCTATCGTTGCTTGCTTCTGCCTCACCGAGACTGCGAGCCTTCGAGTGGGGATCGGTCTAAAAAAGAGAGAGAGAGAGAGAGATATATATATATATATATATATATATATACCATGAATTGAATGAGAAAAGTGCCCAGGCATCGAATACGTACAAAGCACGCGCAGAAGAGAGAAGAGAGCTGCATCCAAAGGCTGCATGGATTTCGAGCGTCACAGTTGTTGCCGAACGTCGCGCTGAATGGCAAACGGAATGCGATCATACTGCAGCCTAGCTACTAGGATTAGGGCCCTGATTGAAAGCTCGGTGGTGCCTTGCCGTCGCTGCGGAGGGCAGCGAAAGCACCCTGGGTTGCCGCAATGTGCTCCACACTATGGAGCTGGCCTGGTTGAGAAGGCCTATACTTCTCTAAACTCGAATATGGTTTAGGGTTTAGGGGTTTTAGGGGTTTAGGGTTATATGTAGGGGTTTAGGGTTTAGGCTAGTTCTCAGAGACTCCAATATCCCTTAAGTAAGGAGTATAGTATACCTTAAATCATATTAGGGATCCAACTATAATTTAAGGTATATTCCTTAATTAAGGGATATTGGAGTCTCTGGGTTCTCTAGATTCGTATAGGGCTTTTAATAAGGTTCCTTGTAAAGGATTCTTCAACGGCTTAGAGAGCTACCCAAGTATGGATACACGGGCTTGCAAAAAGGGAGGGTTGAAAGCCACAAGCTCTGGGCTTTATCGTTGCAGGAGTTTGCGCCCAGAGCGTTTCCAAAGCCAACCTTGGCCATAGTGCTCCCCGCCTAAAACCCAGGCCCCATGACCGCATGCCTTCATCATATCCCGCAACCGACACTGAGAACCCCACCTTCGCCCTAAACCCTCAACCTGAAACTGCGAAGCGCCCCAACCCAAAACCCTACAGCCCTCAACAAGAACTACTCCTGAACCTTACCAGACACCGAACCCCAAACACACGCAATCCTACTACTCAGAAACCCATCCTCCTAGCCATGCATGAGCGTTAACTGGTTCAGGGACTACTGCCGGGTTTGGATTCTAGATCGGCTTCTTTCAAGCGGATCCTCCTGATATGGCGTCTGAACTACCAAGAACTTGTCCGTCTTCCTATAAGCCATGGCTTAGGTGTTTCTAG